TTGCCGCCACTGTTCGACTCCATGTGTTGGACACTGCCTCAAAAGAGTTTTAAATCTCTCCCATGCCTCGTATAATTGCTCGCCTTGCTCTTGGAAAAAGTTATGAATTTCTCGTCGAATTCTCTCGTCCTTCTCGGGTGAGCTGTAAACTTTCATGAAAAGGTTGAGGAGTTGAGACCACGACGAGATAGAGTGGGGGGCTTGGGACATCAACCACTGGCGAGCTCTTCCTTGTAAGGAGTGCTTGAAGAGAATTAATTGAAGTGCCTCTTGGGAAACGCCGTTTTGACGGTGGGAATTACAGGTATCTAGAAAATTGACAATGTGAAGATGGGGATCTTCACCCGCCAATCCACTAAATAGCCCGTTATTTTGGAGCATCGTCAATAGGCCTTGCTTGATCTCAAAATTGTGCGCCTCAATAGGTGGATATTGGATGCTAGGGCGGAATCCGTCATGAGTCGGGATTATGTAATCTTGAAGCGCCCGTGGCCTAACTGCTGGTTGTACTGGAAGTTGAGGGGGTGGGTCTTGGACTTGGTTTCCGTTGGCCCCGAGTAAATTACCCGCTGCCCTGCGTTCTTCGTCCTCCATTATATTGTTCGCGCGTTGAAGTCTCCTAGCGGCTCGAAGAGTGCGTTCGATTTCGGGATCAAAAGGTTCTCTAGCAAGATCGAGTCTCCTAGGCATACACCGTACCTAAAACAAAAATAAAATAAAACAAAAATTAAATGGGTGAATCGTGAAAATTGTTCAAATCTAGAGCTAGAATAAAATAAATAATTAAAATATTCCCCGGCAACGGCGCCAAAAACTTGTTGGCCGAAAACCTACACGCAAGTGCACGTATCGTACAAGTAATATAGTGGACTAAAAGTCCGGATATCGAACCCACAGGGAATATTTAATTATCTAATCATAGACGCTAAATTCTACCAATTATTATCAAGCCCACCCTACACAGTCGAATTTTAGAGAGAATTAACTAAATTAAACTAAATTAAAAGCAAGCAAAAACAAGAAAGCAATTAAAAACGAAGATTTAATCAAAGTAAACAAGCCTAGGATTTTATTCTTCCCCCTATGTGATTATTACTCCCCCAATTTCTTCAATTATGCAAGCAATTAACCCGGATTATTAACATGAGATGCTAAAATAATCATAACCCGCTTCCGCGTGTATTACGATTCTAATACTATAGATTCAATTACTATATTCCTATGCAATTAATTCTAGAACACAGCATTAAGCACAAATCTCAATAATGGCTACCTAAGAGATTAACTATATTCCTATGTTAATACCACAAAGGCTCTTCTACCACAGTTCTAATTATTAACCCGATCTTCCGATTCATGCGATTAACAATAACATAAAAGCACATAAGTTGATCAAGTTCATGCACTTAATAAAACAAGTAGAAGAAATAATCCGGAATTAAAACTTGCATAAAATCATAGAATTGGGTTCATAAATCCCACATAGGGTTCCAAATAAAATCCTAGAATTAAGAAAATTAGCTACTCATGATTAAAGGAAAAACACAAATAAAATAAGTCATAAACGATAAATCTATGCTTAGAGTCTTCGAATTCTTCGTCTTCGTTATTGCTTTGTTGCTCTCCAAATTGCGTAAAAGATCCCTAATTGTGTGCTTGGCTTGGTCTTATATAGGGTGAAGAACTTGGGGAAGAAGGCAGTTTCCTTGTGCAATTAAAATCCCTTTACTGCGCCACTTCGGGATCTCGGACGGCCGTCCCATAATTTGAACTAAAACTCGGACGGCCGTCCGAGCTTTAAATCTCCAGATTTTGGTTTTTTTTCACTTTTGGCCCATATTTTCTCCAAATTTGCAGTTTTGACCCCATACTTTTCCAATTCTTCAATTTGTACCTAAAATACAATAAATCAACTTTTTAAGCACCAATTATCGTTAAAACACACCAAAAGCTCAAATAAAAAGATACGATAAAGTGTTAAAATATACACTTAACAATAGCCACCGCCTCCGATAACCATCCCCACATAACCGGCCACCACCATGTTCATTCAACTCACATACCTGGATTCATCTCTTCCCAAAAACGATGCCGCCTCCGCTACCCATATCGTCGCCGTCTTCAGATCCACCGCCACAATAGGTTCACCGCCACTCCGCTACCCGCTCCGTCGTCTCTCTCAGATCCACCACCGCCACCTTCAAATTCGCAGCCACCACCGTCGCGTCTCTGAGCATAGGGGCACAATATTCGTGCCTTAACAAAAAAAAAAGGATAGCTATGTGGAGATCGGTCGAGAAAGATAGAAAGAAAGCGAGAGACAAAGAGGAGAGAAAAAGAAAGAGAGAAAGAAAGACAGAGACGGAGGGGAGTGGGCAGAGGAAAAGAAAGAGAGAAGAACAAAAATAAATAAATCTGGTAGAAGAAACGTTAAATATGTAAGTTAAAATATTTAAGGTATAAGGGCAATGTAGAGATAAAAAAAAGTTAGGGATATATGTCATATATTGTTTCAAGCTAAGGATTTAATTAAAAGATTGAATTTTGACTTGTCATTTAGTCCAAATTAGGTTTGCTTTGAGGGACTCATAGCATATAATCATAAACCACGTGCAGCACGTGTCACTTTTAAGTTTTAATAGTTAAAAGAAAAGAGCATTTCACGCCAGGAAAAACAAAACAAATGAGGATTTCATGAAATAAAAATAATACACATAGTTAAACCTCAATAAATTAGCATAGTTGGGAACAATGTAATTCTATTACTTTAGCGAGATTAAATTAGCTCTAAATTAATAACTAATTAATTTTGAAATAATTAATATTATTTTTATTATTATTATTTACAATAAATATTAAAACAAATGACGGGCAAATGTTAGATGGTGAAATTACATAAGAACTGCAAAATATAATTAATGAGTTGAATTATTATAACAAAATGGATATTAGATATCTATTAAACTACCTTTAGAAAAACACAACGTAGTTTCAGAGATGTTGACTAACAAATACTTCAGCCCCTTTCACAAATACGTCAGCCCCTTTCAGGGCAGAAGCTCTTGGAGTAGACCGAAAGTTATTAAACAATTTCTTGTTGAACTATGACAAGTAGACCGAAAGTTCTTACGATATTAAGAAAAGTAATGAATGAGATTTAATGTGATATTGTCAACTAACAAAAATCAAAATAAAACCGAATCATATATTACAAGTAATTAAATTTATCATAAATGTAATGCACCATGCATTTGAAAAGTTATTTCTATTCATTATTAATTTATATATTAGACGGTGTCTATAAGAATTTTAAAATATATAGTATCTTATAAATTTAGCAAATTATTAATTTAGCACATAGCCTCGAGTTGAAACATATTTTTTTGTTTTTATTCAAGCGATGTTATTAATTTATCGATGTTCTAGTACACGTGACTTAGGCACATGTATTTTGTAACATTTTAAAGTTCTATGATGTTTACTAATGTTATATATCACATAGTACAAAGCGAGCAAAATGTATTTTCCCGTAAATATTTCTTAGAAACAATTAATTATGAAGGTATCATTAATTAAGTAATTATCAGCTAAGCTATGCGTCGGATACAATTAATTAAGAGACGTGTTATTTCCATCCTCAAAATATTTTATTTTACAACCAAATTAAATATATTTTCTATTTTATCCATATTCAGTGACGAAGCTAGGATTTCTTCGGGGGGGGGGGGGGGGGGGGGGGGCGAATATACATAAAAACTAACGTAAATAAATTAATAAGAACAATAATTGTTCCAAGAGTGACGAGTTTAGGATATTGTTACATGATGAACTTAAATTTTCGGTGGTTCGGAGGCAGCGCCCCTGAAAAAAATTAGGATTTTTTTTAGAAGAAGCTAGGAAATGAAAAACTTAGGACTTTTTATTTTTTGCATTAATCTGAATTTTTGGTGGACTAAATAATAAAAATTGAATAGCTTGACTCTGTCTTTGCCCATGGTTGTTTTCGGTGGAATAAAATCTAAAAATGGGTTACATTTTATTCAGCGCAACCTGTCCGGAAATTGGTTCAAATTGAACGATTATTAGAGTATTGTTTTACCCTTTTATGTTTCATTACAAAAAAAAAAAAAAAAAAAAAGAACCTTACAACATATGAAATTAAGCGAATATGAGGGAAGGTGGTGATATTTTATATAAATTTAGTGGCGCTACAAAAGGGGGGAATTTTTTCACTAATTATTTTGGCAACAATTAATACACTATAGTCGCAAAAAATAATTAGAATTAAAAAAAAAAAAAGGGTTTAACATGCGACGTTTCGTACAATTTCGTCGCTAGGAATTAATATTATTTAATATTTTCACTTTATAATGCTACGTTTATAAAATTCGTCGCCAACCCAATTAAATGTTTTTTTTCACAATTACACTAGCGACGTATACATTATATTCGTCGCTAAGGTACAAATATTAAATTACAAAATATATTATTTGTGTGTCGTTTATATAATGACGTCGCTACGAGAGGGCTTTTTATTTTTTATTTTTCGTTTGCAACGTTTTTGGAATTATAGTTGCGAGTTAGCGACGATTTATATTTTCGTCGCGAGAGTAAACACCAAAATCATAATTTCCAACATCGTGCGACGTTTTTTAATTTAAATCGTCGCAAGGCCACGACGATTCATAAATCGTCGCAAAAAAAAAAACGTCGCCAGTGAGCTGATTTGGCCTAGTGCCAGTTTTAATTAATTATGGACATACGTATATGGATGTAAGAATCTTTTGAATTCAAATAATTGAACTCACTTTTTTTGTGAGCAAGGGACCCTCAAATAATTGAACTCTATCTCTTACCTCTACTAGAGAATCATTTTGCAGTTGTTGAAAACAGGGTGGCACTCAAATAGAGATTTAGTAATAGTAGCTGCTGGAGTTCACTTTGCACTCTTCATAATTACCAAACAAAACTTTTCCCTCATTTAAACATTCTCTAGAGAGATGGCAGCTTATGCAGCTCTAGTTTCTCTCATAACTACTATGGATCAGATCCACAAACATCCTCGCCTTTCGATTTCTTTCGACACGAACCGGATGGAATCTATCATTGAAAAAGTTGGTTTGTTGCTAGATTTCGTAGAGAATGATACTCATGGTGTTATAAGCACACAAGTAGAAGTTCTGGAGAGCCAAATTGCTTCTGCAGCCAATGCGGCTGAAGATTTAATCGAATCTCATGCAGTCGGCCAAATTCAAGCGATGAAAGATGCCAAAAGAAAGTTTATCAAGCCCATGAATTCGATGCGACTACTCTGTTGCCTCAAGAAAGCTGTAACTGCTGAATCTGATCTAGTAGATGACCAAATTCACGGTGGTTCGATTTCCGTGGTCGATCTTCAAACGGTAATAGAAGACATGGATTCCGTCAAGAAAAAGGTTATGGCGTTTAAAGAGGAAAGTGGATCCAGAGATGATATGCAGCCCACATACTCGATGCCTACAGCTACTACCACTGCTTCATCAAGTGCAACTCTTGTTACCACCGACAAGAATACTATGGTCGGATTTGACCAACAGTTGATTCAACTTTTGTACACGCTCACGGGACAACAATCTAACCGTCAAATCATTCCAATTGTAGGCATGGGGCGGCATTGGTAAGACTACTCTCGCGAAAAATGCTTATGGACATTCACTTATTGTCCACCATTTTGATATTCGTACTTGGGTCACAATATCTCAAAAGTATAATGTCAAACAACTTCTCTTACAACTTCTTGCTGAAAAACATAGTCAAATAGATAATGGAATAGATGAGCAATTATTAGGAGAAAAATTGTACAAAAGGCTATGGGGTCGGAGATATTTGATTGTAATTGATGATATTTGGAGTATTGAAGCCTGGGACAAGGTAAGTCGTTTCTTTCCAGACAATGATAATGGATGTCGAATTGTTGTGACTACGAGGATATCGAATATGGCTACTCACTTCGGCTCTTTGTTGTTTGAGTTGAGTTTTCTAGATGAAAATCAAAGTTGGAAACTATTCTGCAAAAAGGTATTTCGCCATGCCCTTTGCCCTTCTAAACTAGAGGATATTGGAAAGGAGATTGTTAAAAAATGCAAAGGACTTCCCCTTTCGATTTCTGTTATTGGTGGTCTTCTTCGAAGGTCCCATATGACACAAGAGTATTGGAAATATATAGCAAAAGATTTAATATCAATTTTGAACTTCGGAAATGACGAGAATTGCTTGAGTATATTATCTTTGAGTTACAACTACTTGCCTGCTCATCTTAAACCATGCTTTCTTTACATGGGAATTTTTCCAGAAGACCATGAGATTCGGGTCTCCCAACTGATCAAACTTTGGGTAGCTGAAGGATTTATAAAATCGAATGAATCACAAAGCTTGGAAGAGATTGCACGAGTTTACTTATATGATCTCATTGACAAGAATCTCATTTTGAAGCATAATTTGGGATCGGATGGAAGAATTAAAATTTGCAAGATTCATGATCTTTTGCGAGAGTTATGTCTAAAGGTAGCTCAGAAAGACGAATTTTTCTGTGTGATGGAAGACATTCAACGAGGAATAGAAAGGGGGCGTCGCATTGTCTGTAATGAAGAACTTCTGCAAGCAGAGTATGAATCTCGTGTCATTGATACTTTGCAATTGGCATCAGTCACCCGTAGTCTAGTAACGAGCGTAGATAGTCGATTGTCCAACAGTAGATTGCTGAGAGTAATGACGATCAACAATGAATTCGAGGATAACTATTTACACGGGCATATTGTTGATCAAGTTAACATGCGATATCTTGCTTATAACAAATTCATAACATCCTCTGATATTATTAATCTTCCTTCGTCAATAGGCGTTCTCTGGAATTTGCAAACAATAATTATGAGAAGGAACAAGATTAAAGCACCATCTGAAATTTGGGAGATGCGACAACTTAGGCATGTGGATATATGGGGGCTACACCTTCCGGAACCTCCTAAGAGTGGTGACCAAAAAGAGGATGAAATTGTTTTGCAAAATCTACAGACACTTAAGAGAGTCGAAAACTTTGTGTGGAGCGAGGAGGCTTGTGAGAGAGTCGTCAATGTCAGGAAATTGCAAATAGTGTATGATAGGCACTCGAAAAGGTCAAATGACTATTCGCTCTACAATATTGGCAAGTACTTGCATAAACTTGAATCACTTACGTGCTTTTCATATGGTCTGGATAATGTGTTGCAGAAGCTCACATTCCCAAGTTCGCTAAAGAAGTTGCATTTACAGGGGTACAAGGCTGATTGGAAAGATTTAAGAGTCATTGGTTTGTTACCCAATCTTGAAGTTTTGAAACTCAAATATCTTTCGGCCGGAGAACGAGTGTGGAATCCTGTTGAGGGGGGATTCATTCGCCTCAAATTCCTCTTCATACGCTCTATTGATTTGGTTAATTGGAATGCAGACAGTTCCCATTTTCCGGTTTTGGAGAAACTTTTTCTTATAGGAATGTTCGAATTGGAGGAAATCCCGTTAGATATTGGAGAAATACCAACACTTGGACTTATCCAATTGGTTTGGTGCAGTGAGTCTGCGGCCATTTCGGCTATGAAAATAGCGGAGGAACAAGAGAACGCTGGCAATGACGGGCTTCAAGTTCGAGTTGTGTTCCGTGTAAAGAGAGATTTAGACAATTTTCAGGAAAAGATGAAACAATCAGAGGATATCACCAACTTCACAAGAAATAATTTTCAAGCCGTGACATTCAAGGCCTGAAATATTGGGACTTGTAGAGAAAATACTTATTTTTTTGTTATTTCGTTTAAAGTAAAGAAATTCAATTTATCATTGCGAATTGTAGGCTTAATCCCACTTTGCACTCTTGAAATGGAGCTTTTTGACACTTTGCACCCTTGAAAAACAATAATAGCACTCTGCACCCTCAAAACACAATAAATCATTCACAATCCAAACCCTTAATAAATGATAATTAATTATTTATTGTTTTTTTTTTCTGGGGTGCAAAATAACAACTTAAATTATTATTTTCTTCAACCTCCAACCTAATTTTGATAGCACAATGCCACAAAGTGCGAAAAAAAATAATATCACACCGGATAATTGAATTTTTTTTTCTTACTAAATAAAATCAAATAAACTTTGATCACTAAATTATTCGATTGATAGATCTTCTATTGTAATTGGTGGAAACATTAGGCATAAATATTTGGAAGAAAATATGATTTTCAGATAACTTGATAACGAAATAGCTGAAGGATTTTTTTTTGTAAAATATATTTTTTTTGATAAAAAATATAAGGGTAAATTCCACTTTCCCCCCTTGTACTTTAGCTAGATATCACTTTACCCCCTCCTACTCTCAATTGCATCGATTTGCCCCTTGTACTTTGGCTCGATATCACTTTACCTCTTCTACTCTCAATTGCATCGATTTGCCTCACTGTACTTGAAAAATTGTCTCAATGTGGCCCTCGCCGTTAGTTTTCAGACCATAACACCGTTTGATCTAAGTCTGAAAATTACTAAAAAGTCACCCCTCTCTGTTTAAATAATTATCAAAAAAAAAAAAACAAAAACAAAAAAAAAATAATAAAAAATTCAAGAAAAAAGAGAAAACATTGTCCACGGCGCCAGCTACAATTTATGTTTTATTTTAATTTTTTTTTAATAATTATTTAAACTGGGAGGGGTGGCATTTTTTGTAATTTTCAAACTTAGATTAAACGGTGTTAATGTTAAAGATGTGAAAACTAATGGCGAGGGCCACATTGAGACATTTTTTCAAGTATAGGGGGGCAAATCGATGCAAGTGAGAGTAGAAGGGGGTAAAGTGATATCGAGCCAAAGTACAAGGGGGAAAGTCGATGCAATTGAGAGTAGAAGGGGGTAAAGTGATATCGAACCAAAGTACAAGGAGGGAAGTGAACTTTACCCATAATATAATTTTTAAATACCACTAAAAAAATTAAATTACCTTTACTAGCTTGAAAAACTCATTTGGGATGCATTATGCATGATATATTGTATTTTGAGGGTGCAAAGAGCTATTTATTTATTTCGAGAGTGCAAAGTGCCAAAAATAGTATATTTCAAGGGTGCAAAGTGGAATCAAGCTCGTATAGTATCATGTATATTTGATTTTATTTTTTATTTGTTATTCTCCTATGTATACATGCCTAGCATATGTGACGAGAATAAGGGCAAATGGTAAATAGGCTCATGACATAGGCACTTAATTAAAAAAAATTATATTCAACTTTTTTGTGTTCCAAATAAATCCAACTCATTCAAACTTATTTGTAAATAAGAAAAACCTTTTTATATATACCAAAATTACCCGAAATTCGTTGAAACCCTAATTCAAATCCAATTTCATGATTTACACCACAATTAAGCCAATTTCACCAATTAACCAATTTTGACCGCCATCGCCGTTGACTTTTATTTATTTATTTTATTTCTGAAAACTTATTTTTTTGATTTTATTTTTCCGGCAGGTCAACCACCGATCTCCGGCATTTACTTTTTTTTTTCTTTATGAATACTTATTTGTAACACCCCACATTTTCGAAACCCTAATCCCTAAGCGAAATCCCATAAACCAAAAATCCCTATATAAGAATTATTAGGCATTTAGCTACATTTCTAACTTAATTTGCTTAGACTAATAATCATTATATGTTGATTAGATTATATAATTATGTGCCTTATGTGCTAGAAATTTATTTATTACGTACCAACTTTAATTCTATAATTATGTGCGTAAGTGGATTAATTATAGAAAATTATGTGCTAGATTAATTTGTGTGACTTATGTGAATACATGTGCTATAGTTAATTAATTTTGTGCCATTTTAATTCTCTAAGTGCCTTATAATGCATAGTATAATACATGCATGTGTGTATATATATATATATACACACACACACACACACACACACACGTATATACATATATAGCTATATACCTATGCATGCTAGACCTACCTAGGTGATATACATATATAGATATATGTATATGTGTTTTCGGATATGTGTGTGTGTGGGAATTAATTAGTAGTGTTATTAATTAATAAAAAAAATTAAAAAGATGCATGACACTTGGCAAAGAGTGAGGATTTACACTAATCATACACTCAAGCATGGTAAGTCATCTCAAGAGACACTCTCATGTCTTCTTCTCTCTCCACCTATATTCCCACTTGTCTTCTCTTCACCACCACCACCACCGAAGCACCACCACCTCCATCGGCCACCACCTCATTTTTCTTCAAGAAACAAAATAGAGAAATCAAGATACAAATCCGATCCCCTATATAAGTTTCACCCTTGAATATGCCAAGAACACCATCAAAAACACTTGCCCTCTTACGGGAGATCAAAACGCCTCCCAACTTGATATCAAAGCTCTTACCTTCTCCATTCAACTAGCTTGGTTCAATTTTTGAGCCACTTCTTGAAGGAGGTAACATTGTATCTTCATTTTCTTCATTTTCGTCTTCCGTCTTTTCTTCCTCTAAAAACCCTATTTTCTTTTGAAGGTTTTTTTTTCTTCGTCCAACACTCTTTTGTTAGGTAAGAAATCTCGAATTTCTTGCTGCAATCGAAGGGTATCATAGTATGGAAAAAGAGTTTTCAAAACTACTTAAAAGATTGCCTCACTTTTTCGAAAATTAGGGCTTTTTGTGAAAAATCCAAAATCTTGTGCTAATCTTAATATTTGTGTTCTTGCATGTCTAATCCATGTTATAATCTGCGAATCTAAGTATTTTGTGGTTAAAGATTTAATATTTCGAATTTTTGGGAATTTTGGACAAAGAAAGTGAGTTTTCAAAATTTTTGGGGTTGCATGTGTAGATCTATGAATCTTTAGGGCTAATCTGCAATTTCTTGAAATTTCAGCATGGAAAATGTTTTCACCTTCAAAATCTCAGTAGGAGTAAGTGGAATTGCAACCACCCCCTCAACTCATCAAATTTAGTGGAATCTTCGAGATTATATGGAATATTATCACATTTGTACCTGTTTTATCCCATTCAAACTCTACATTATGAAGCAAGATGATCATAATATGTGATTTTTAGCTTGTATATATCAGTTTGTGGTGCATCAAAAACTGTATTTTTACACAAAACGAGTACAAATTATACCACATTTCACGGAATCTAGATGATTATGTTGAATTTGACACCATAAGGGTGGAGGTGTAAGAAAAAATCACAGTTGAGGGGGTAGATGTAATTATCCAAACAAGAGGGGTTTCTTTGTAATTTGACCATACCTCAGGGGGTGTTTGTAATTTACCCAAATATATAATATGATGCTATAATAATTTTGTGAATTATGTGTATATATATATATATATATATATATATATATCTGTGTGTGTGTGTGTGTGTGTGTGTGTGTGTGATTGCCGTGTATATATGTATATTATGTGGATAATTGGATTTTGTTTGTATGTTCGTTGATTGATATTTGTGATGTCGTAAAGTGGTCATTTTTTTATTAGAGTTTCATTCATCTCATGGTCTTTCATAAAAAGAGATTTCATTTTTACGAAAGGAAAGTGGTCATTTTTGTTACATTGTTTTTCTTAAAAAAATTATTTTAATTAATATTACTGTCTTGGCCTGCTATATTACGGTCTCCAACCATAATTTAAATGTCTGAGACAGTAATATTATTGTCTGAGATAATAATTTTACTGTATAAATTAATTTTATCGTCTTTGCATTTTGTTGTCTTCGACCGTAATATTACTGTCTCATGCAATAATATTACTCTTTGGGACAATAATATTAGTAAATATTAGTAATATTGTTGTTGAGTAAAGTAATGTATATATATATATATAT